ACGCCCCCCCACACCCACCTGTTCCCACCCCAGGGACCTGCCAGCAGGAGTCAGAAATTTCCCCAACAGCTGAACCAGATTCCAGCCATTTTTCACTTCATTTGTTCAGCTATTTTCCCAGCTGGGATGGGAGTGGTGCTGGGGTGGGGGTGGGAAAGAGAGGTCACTGTGGGGGGACAGAACCCAGGAGTCCGGGCTCACAGCCCCGTTACCTGTGATGAGTTTCCTGCGCTCAGAGGCCTCGGTGGCTAGCGCGTATGCCAAGGTGATGACCCGGTGATCGGTCTCTCTCGAGGGGTGGGGGAGACCGGCCCCAGGGCCCCCCGCTCTGCCCCCCCCTCGGCGGTGGCTCCATGGGGGTCTGGGTTGGCTCTGGCCCGAGGTCGGGGGAGTGAGTCGGAAGAGGGAGCTGGAGGAGGAATTTTAGGAGGGGGAAGTGAACGCGGGGGAAGCTCCATCCAGGAATCCGAGCTCTGGAGAGAACCACTCCACCCCGCTAGCCAGCGCTGCCCCCCAGAGCAGAACCCATCTTCTAACCCAGGAGTCCTGGCTCCCAGCCCCCTGCTCCAACCACCAGGCCCCACTCCCCTCCCAGAGCCAGGGAGAGAACCCAGGAGTCCTGGCTCACAGCTCCCTGCTCTAACCACTAGCCTCCACTCCCCTCCCAGCACCAGAGAAAGAACCCAGTAGTCCTGGCTCCCAGCCCTCCCCTCCCCTCACAGGGTGGGTGAGATATGGGCTTTACTGGGGGAGACAATGGGTGTGGCCTCGGGACATGCCCCACCGCCTGGCAGCCGGTCAGCCCCTCCCCCGCAGGCTGCGTACCCACCCGGCTGGCGCTGGCCCGGACAGAGCCCTGCCGGGAGCCCCAGGGGTTCGGCCTGCCCCCCTCCTGCTGCCTCTGGCCTTCCTGGTGCCGGCGCATCCGCTCCAGCTGCTCCTGGACGCTCATCCGGGCCCGGTGGGGACCAGGGGGGTCCGTTGTGATCACCTGGGAGGTGGGGAGAATGGCAGGAGGGAACCCAGGCGTCCTGGCTCCCAGGTCTTCCCCCTCCCCTGCTCTAACCACTCACCCACAATCCCCTCCCAGAGCCAGGAGAGAACCCAGGCGTCCTGGCTCCCAGCCCCTCCCCCCACCCCCCCGCTCTAACCACTAAACCCCACTCCCCTCCCAGAGTTGGGGATAGGACCCAGGTGTCCGGGCTCCCACACACTGACCCCCCAGGGGAAGGGAGGGAGCCCGGCTACCTTGGCTGGCAGCTCCTTGGTTCTCTGCTCTCGGGGCTCATGGGGGCCTGGGCTGGGGCTCCGGGGCAGGTGGGGGGCGGCCGGAGGCGAGCTGAGACCTGTGGGGGGGAGAAGCAGGGGTTAAAAGGGGGCTGGGAAGGGAGACCAAGGGCGAATGCTGCCCCAGCCGGGCTGGGCACGGGGGGGGGGGGGGAACCGCACCTGGTGCCGCAACATCCGTCTCCTGCAGGGGGCGCCCTCCGTCCAGCTCGGGGGACCCGGCCCCTCTTCTAGAGGGGCTCTGAGGGGGCTGGGAGCCCCAGGCGTCTCCCCTCAGTGCTCGGCCCTCTTCCAGGCCGCCAGCTGGCATGGCCTGCGGGGGAACAGAGAGAAA